CGGGTTAGGGGTGAGGGGGCGGGAGGGGGAAAGATGGCGGCGAGGCTGAGCGGTGGCGAGAACCGGCTGGTGTCGCTGCCCCTGTCGCGTATCCGCGTGATCATGAAGAGCTCGCCGGAGGTCTCGAGCATCAACCAGGACGCGCTCTTCCTCACCGCCAAAGCCACGGTACCGGTTCCCTCCTCCCGTCCCTCGCGGCCGGCCGCGCGCCTTCCCCGCCGTGCGGGGCCTCCGCCTCCCTGAGGCACCGCCGCGCCTCTCGCCGCCGCCGGGGCACCGGCAGTGTGACAGGGCGGTGTCTCCGACCTCGGCACGTCCCGCCTGCGCCTGGCACTCGGCGGCCATGGAGCGTGGCGCTTCAGGCGCCCTCTGAGCGAAGGGGGGTTTGGGCATCGTCCTGCCCGGCTGAGCTCCCGCAGCTGTGGGCAGTGCAAGAGGTTCTGATTCCCACCGCTGTCAGTTAGTGTAAATTAGCCTCTGTGGGAGCGGTATCCTGCCGCTTTCCGATTCCAAGTGCCATCCGCTGGGCTGTGGAAAGTGTTGAAGAGCAGCACAAATCAGTTACGTACCGAATTTCGGAGCCCAAACCTGCAGTCCGAGGAGATGCCACTAAATCCTGACCTTAAGCTCTTCTGAAATAAGTGGGTCTGTCCACAAAGTGTCCAGTATCCGTGCACTGAAACGTTTGTGTCTTTAAACAGGGATTAAATGAAACTGCTAACTCTATGTGTGAATTCATAGTTAGAATATTTTCTTTTGTTTTTATTTTTTAGGAGCTTTTTGTTCAGTATTTGGCTACATACTCCTACAAACACGGCAGAGGCAAGGAGAAGAACGCTCTAACTTACAGCGACCTGTCTCATACTGCAGAAGAGTGTGAGACCTTTCAGTTTCTTGCAGGTATCTATAGCGTGATGGTGAATCCAGTATGCAATTTGCAAAATGAAATCTTGCCTTCATGGAATTGTTTTGGGAGAGAACAGTTCTCCTACTGGTCATTAATCTCCTGTAGTTTTTGAGTTCCAGTTGAATGTTACGCATCACTGAAAACATGCCTTTGTGAATGGGAATTTTTCTGGTGCTTCAAAATTCTACAAGGCTAATTAGTTCTCCGCATATTGCCTTAAGCATTTCTTAAATTCCAGCGACACAATCTGAAAGCTTTCAGCCTGTAGAACAAGATCACTGCACGTTTTTATGTGAGAAGTTATGTGGCCCCAAAATTACACATTTAAATCTGTAAACCTTGTTTCTTAACATGGTTCGTCATATGGTTTCTCTCTCTTTTCATATATATATGTACATACAATGCGTGCGCACATGCTTTTTAGTGATCCTTGAATTTTTGTTGTAGCACTTGGTTCAGAAGAGGTATTGGCATAGGATATAGAGATAAGGAGAATATATAGGAGAATAAGATATTGCTAACCCATGTTTTTCTGGGTTCCCTGTGAACATACTTTACGAGCATGCAGTTTTGCTTTGTCTCAGGTCCATCGTTATTGTCCTGAACAAGTGTCTTACCTTGATGCAGAAGAATCAGTTCTACAGGAACATGAATGGCATAGCTGCCTTGTAGAATCTGTCTAAGGCAGCTGAGTAATCAAATAAATTACATCATTACATCAAATAAATAACGTACATGAGCAGATAGTAAAGATAGTTACCAGTAACCAGTTGTAAAATATATTCCTTATCTTTGGTTAAGTGGGTAATTCCCTCTTACTCTTACAGCTGTGTAAGTCAGACTAACTGACTTCTTACAATATAGTGTGTGAACAACCAGATTATTCACTCAAATAATAATGTTTTTAACAAAGCCTCTCTTCGACTTCATTAGCAATATGGATGCAACAGTATTAATGAGACAATATGAGTATTCAAACTATAAAAGAAAAAATTCTACCTTCCAGATATCTTGCCAAAGAAGATCCTAGCTAGCAAATACCTAAAAATGCTTGAAAAAGAGAAGCGAGATGGAGAAGTGGGGGAAGATGATGAAGAGAATGAGGAGGAAGAGGATGAAGACGAAGCTGTTGATCAAGATGTTGGATCTTAAGACCAACGGAGAATTGCTTCATAGTTGATTCATTTTCTGTTGTATAAAGGATGTCATTTTTGTGACTGAGAATCCAGATGCTGGATATATTTATATACTGAGCCATCTGCTTTTGCTTTTTATAAGAAGTTTAGAAATGGAACTTTATACTCGTTGAAGAATGGAATTCTTCCCTCAGAAACATGGTGAGGTAAGAAGAGCTAATGTAAATCTGACAGCAGAACTTGCTCAGGTGATTTAAAATTACTTCTTCAGACAATCATTGTCCAAATTTAAAATTTCTTACAGGCAGCTTTCAGTCCAAAAGCTCTTTTGCCCTTTGACTAGAAGAGAGTCCTTCCCCAGTTTGTGTTTCTTCTCACGGTGGAAGATGAGGTGAGGTGTTTTACACAGTGTCTACTATCCTCAGCCTTCTCCTCCTTGAGGAGCTGGGAACTGATCAAACCCTCCCTCAGTTTTCTGGGACAGTGCCAGGGCATGAGCCGCGGACCAAGCCCATTAAAAAAGCCAAGTGTAAAAACAGCTTCTCCAGTAATGCAGCCAAAATAGCCATGTGGGCACAGAAACAGGGGAGAGGACGAGATCGATCCGTTCCAAGAGCTGGTGTGGTGGTAAAAAGTCTGTGTGTTAAGTAATGGTATGAATACATGGGTCTAGAACTGTTTTTCCTAATGAATTCCTGCAGTTTGTCCATGGTGTTCTACCAAAACACACATTGACGTCCATTAGATGTGAATTGCTGAGAATGAGCAACCCTTTTGCCATTTGGGTGGCAGAGCTGGATTTTTCATTTGGTTTTGGTTTTTTTGTTTGTTTGTTTGTTTGTTTGTACTATTAAAAGAGTAACCATCCTGCGTAGAACTTTATATGCAACTTTTTAAAATAAAGGTTTTGTATGAAAAGTGACAATTGATGCCGAGCCCTTTCTATGGTTCTTTCCAGCTTCAGTCACGTCCGTACAAGCCTAGCATGCTCACTGGTCACCTGTCGTGGAAGGAAAGGGGGACAGAAGGCCACATGATGCTTTGAATGGTCTCTGTCAGCACAATATTAACCATTTCTAGTCTGAGCTGTGTTAATTAGCAGCCTGTGCTGATTACACAGCTAACGCTTGCACAGTGTCACGGTCGGAGTGAGAGAGAAGTGACCAAGATCTCTCCCTGCTGTGAGGAATGGCTCGAGTAAGCATGGGAATGTTACTGAAGAACAAAATCTCCCACTCCAAAAAGCTGGGCAGCAACCTGCCCAAAATCAGTCAGGAAGGGAGAGGTCTCAAGGAGCACCCTAATTTGGATGACATGGTAAAGAGTTCCCAGGAAAGTCCATCCTCCCTGAGAGGATAATGCTAACAGCTTCTCTTTGGAGGCACAAATACACTAAACTGTTGTTGAAACAGAAGGCATAAGGCTCTGGCAACTCCACGTTTTGTTCTCACAATGTAAAAATTTGGGTGAGGAAGTGGTTTAACCCCGCTGTTGTGGTTTAACCCACTTGACGATTAAACACCGTGCGGCAGCTTGCACGCCGCCCCCCGTGAATGGGGAACAGAATTAAAGGGGAAGAGGGAAAGACACTTGTGGCTTGAGTTAAGAACTTAGTAATTGAAAAATCCCAAAGTAATAATGATAAACATTATAATAATATGTGGTAATATTGAAAATGATAATAATGGATGCAGACAAGTGATGCACAGTGTAATTGCTCACCTCCTGGTGACCGACATCCATCCTGTCCCAGCAAGCAGTCCCAAAACAAAGAAGTCCTGAAACCAATCCTGGAAGAGCAAGAGGCCCGAGAAAAGAGAGAGAGAACTCAAGAATCTGAGAGAATCCAAACTTCCCAGCCAAGCCTCACCTATATACTGAACATGACTTGCATGATATGGAATATTCCATTGGTCAATTTGGACCTCAGTCCTAAATCTAAACTCACGTCATAAACTAGGAGCTGTGGGTCCTTCGTTCTGGCCCCAGCCTGCCGTGCACCTGCACGCTGGCAAAACATGAGAAGCTGAAGAATCCTTGAGGTCTCAGCACCAACTGCAACCATCAGTGTGCTATCAGCGTTCTTCTCACAGCAAATCCCAGACTAAATCCAAAACACTGAGCTCTTCTAGCTGCTAAAAAGGAAAACTAATTGTCCCAGCTGGCAACTCAGCCCCACACAGCTGCTCGCTCCCTCGCAGTGGGATGGGGAGAGGATCAGAAGAGTCAAAGTGAGAAAACTCTTGGGTTGAGACAAAGCCAGTTCACCAGGTAAAGCAAAAGCCGTGTGTGCGAGCAAAGCAAAACATGGAATTCCTTCACTCCTTCCCGTCAACAGGCAGGTGTTCAGCCATCTCCGGGAAAGCAGGGCTCCATCGCATGTAACCATTATTTGGGAAGGCAAACACCATCACTCCGGACATCCCCCCTTCCTTCTTCCCTCAGCTTTAAATGCTGAGCATGATGTCACACGGTGTGGACTATCCCTTGGGTCAGCTGGGGTCAGCTGTCCTGGCTGCGTCCCCTCCCAACTTGTGCACCCCCAGCCCACTCAGGGATTTACAGACGAGTAATGCTGCTGAGCCGCAGAAGAAATGCTGTTATTTTTAAAAAAATATTTGATTTACATGTTGCACTGTAAAAAATGTTTCCCCAAGTTACCATAAACCAAACTCGTGTTGTATCAGGAATACTGCGGTGAGTGCCAAGTGATGCCTTATCCCTAGAGAAACTCCCAGGTGGATGTGCAGAGCTGTCCTGTTGTTGAAAGGGTTGTTTGGGGATGTAAAAAATATTATGGAGAGGGACTTTTGACAAGGGCGTGTAGTGATAGGACAAGGGGCAATGGATTTAAACTGAAAGAGGGCAGATTTCGATTAGATCTAAGGAAGAAATTCTTCACTCTGAGGGTGGTGAGGCACTGGAACAGGTTGCCCAGAGAAGTTGTGGATGCCCCATCCCTGGAAGCGTTCAAGGCCAGGTTGGATGAGGCTTTGGGCAACCTGGTGTAGTGGAGGGGTCCCCTGCCCACGGCAGAGGGGTTGGAACTAGATGATCTTTGAGGCCTCTTCCAACCCAAACCATTCTATGATTCTGTGATTACTAAAAGAGCATGGAAATCTGGGAAACCAGGGGCTGGATGCTGTCTGGTTGGGGGCGGGGGGTGCCTGCATGTCGTGGTTTAGCCCAGTTGGTGACTAAGTGCCACGCAGCTGCTCGCTCAGCCTCCCCCACCCCTGGGGAATGGGGAAGAGAATTAAAGGGGAATAGGGAAGGAGACTTGTGGGTTGAGATAAGACCATTTTGATAATAATTATATGAATATATATATGTTTAATAATAATAATATACACAAACAAGCAATGCACAGTGTAATTGCTCACCACCCAGTGACCAACACCTGTCCCATCCCAGCAAGCAATCCTGAAACAGGTAAGTCCTGACACCACAATCCTGGCAAGCGAGAGGCCCAAAAAGAGAACGAGAGCAAGATAGCACCTTGAGAGTCCAAGAGTGAGCTCTCCCAAGAGAGCCTCCAGAAGAGCAAAAGCCCTTCTTTCTGGTCAGCCCTCATTGATATACTGGGCATGACATTGCATGATGTAGAATCCTAATTGGCCGATCTAGTCCTCAATCCTAAATCTAAGTTCAAACCATAAGGGGAGTTTTGGACCCTTTGTCCTGGCTGCACTCCCCCCTATCCTGTTGAGCTCCTGCACACTGGCAAAAACACGGGAAGCTCGAAAGTCCTTGAAGTCTCAGTACCAACTACAAACATCAGTGCGCTGTCAGCGTTCTTCTCATAACAAATCCCAGACTAAAACCAGAACACAGAGCTGCTCTAGCTGCTAAAAAGGAAAACTAACTCCATCCCAGTCAAAACCAGGACACTACAGGAGGATATGTAAATTGTGTGGTATTGCTCGACACTTGGTGGGTCTGATGCTTGCCAGCTTTTGGGAGAAAAAAGAAAAAGCTACTTGTACTCCAGCACAAAATGGCATGGTAATTCTGTAGCATAACCAGGGCAGAGCACAAGAAGATAATTTAAATCATCGGGGGCCCATAAACCACTGGCCACCACACCAGTTGTGTTAAAGAGTCCCAGAGGAGCAGCCTGATCCCAGAGCTGGCATCTCCATTCTTTAACTCACTGGTACTATGGCTACCTGACCCACAGTTACGTTAGGTGGGTCACGGCTGAGGAACGCAATGACCTCAAACAGCCCTGGCCAAGAGGTCTTGATGCTGGAAATTGTATTTTGAGGTAAAGGCATCGGGGCTGATAAGTTTTAGGGCACAAGGGCACACAGGTTTATAGAAATGACAATTCTGCTTTGTTTTAGACCTGGCGTTTTCCACCACTGATTCTGTTTGGGTAGCCAACTCAATTGTCCATTATGCCAAAGTCTCTGAAAAGCTTTTTTTTTTAAGGCAGTCCTGGAGCCTGGTATAGGTTATGAAGGCCAGTCTTGATGAAAGGTGCCAAAATAGCCACCAAACCCAAGTAATTATCTCCTACCATTCATAATCTGCAGGAGCTGATCATTCCTGGATGTTTGGCACGCCGGTTCAGCTGCCACTCAGCTTGTCAACACTGACATTTGGTAGATGACAGAAACTCTGTTTTTTGACACTCTAAAAAAAAAATTAAAAAAACACTCAACATATTTTTCACTCACTGCTCTACAGACTAGTACCCCACGAGCCTGGAGAGAATTGTCTCAGTGTGAGCAGGACAAAAACTGACACCATGATCCAGTACACGTGTGCCTGTGCTGACACAACTGGGACCACTGGTACTCTGGGACTGAAGACAAAGTATTTTGACAGCGACATGACAGATCACGGTCAGCCCTGTGAGCGCCAACTGAAGGGGGGGAATTCTGCTGCTGTGGTAAGAGGCTGATGCAGTGCTTGACCATATCAGCCTTCCAGTACCTAAAGGGGCCTACAGGAAAGCTGGAGAGGGACTTTTGACAAGGGCGTGTAGTGATAGGACAAGGGGCAATGGATTTAAACTGAAAGAGGGGAGATTTTGATTGATATAAGGAAGAAATTTTTCACACTGAGGGTGGTGAGGCACTGGAGCAGGTTGCCCAGAGAAGTCGTGGATGCCCTATCCCTGGAAGGGTTCAAGGCCGGGTCGGATGAGGCTTTGGGCAACCTGGTGCAGTGGAGGGTGTCCCTGCCCATAGCAGGGGGGTTGGAACTAGATGATCTTTGAGGTCCCTTCCAACCCAAACCATTCCATGATTCTATGATTATCCACATACCTGGGCTACGTTCACAACTGGCAGAGGTGTCACCACACCACCAGCCTGCCGTGTTTCATTGTCCTCTAAGCCAGCCTCACTCACAGCAGAGGGAAT